AGGCGACCCCAACGGGCGGAGGGACTAACTGTATGGGTCAAAATCTGACCACATGTGGATTAGCACTTAAAGGAATAGTAAGGGATTAACTAAGCCGTGGTTATACCCACAAGTCATAATAACGACGAGTATCTTGGCCGCTGCCGAGATCGAGCCATCGGAAAGCTTGTACGGCAAAGTAAATGTCGTGATACTTAGAGGGAGCGATGTAAAGTACGATCAAGGGATGAAGGTATTTTGGCTAAGAACCGTTGGACCAAAGGGAATACTGATAATATATATATATATAGGAAGTAAGAAGACAAGAAAGAGAGAGCTTCCTCTCCTAGAGAGAGAAGAGGTGAAGAAAACCAAGAAAAGGTTTAGATAGTAAATACAAATCTCCGTAATTGAGATTATCGAATCAACAAAGATAGATCCTGTTACTGTCAAATGGCATTCCTTCTTTTCCGTCTTTATCAATACATCACGGGATAATATGTCAAGAATGTATTTCTATCATTTATATTTGATATCTTCTATGATCCCAGAAAGTTTATAAGCTTGATTATATATTATTCTCTTATTCAATGTGCTTAGATCTAGAGTTAATTATTCTTGGTTAAAATTTATCATCTATTTTCTCATTAATTAGTTTAGCAAAAAGTTGAACACTTTTTGGCCAAACAATTGCGTGTTTAAAAATATAAGTTCCAAAAAAAAATCCTTACATTTAGTGCGAATCAAACCATGATAAATGCGGCTTTTCGAAGTAGTAATAAGCCCTTTTACAGTGTGTCTCCAGCTTTATCTTTGAGTAAGAATCATTTGGGTTTGTAAAGGTAACATATAAAGTTATCATAATATTCTTTTAAGAAAATGCATAATATTCTTCGCAATAAGATTAATTGATATGGATATCTATAAATATAGGCATTTCAGATCTAATATTCTTCTGGGTACATCCTTCTTCTTGTACGGGAGAATTGTACTAGAAAATGTGATTTCATCTACTGAAAAGTCGCATGGCTTTTTATTCTTTTAAATTCCAATAAGGAAAACTGCATTTGGAATATCTTCAATGGAATCAAAAACTCTACATAATCTATCAGATGATTCAATAGATAGACCTGTTAGCAAGTGACACGTCTTTTTATAGATTAATCTATTAATCTTTCCATTACAAGTTAATTGCCTTTTTAATATGTTGTTTGATTATCTTGAGAATTGTAATTTGTCTATTTAGCACAACCGAGAATCAATCTCTACCGTAATATCCATAATTTCCAAGGTACTCCACTTAATATTAGAACAAATACATGTAGCAGTATTCATTTAAGACAACAACAATAAACCCAGTGTAATTTCATACGTGGCATCTGGGAAGGATAGTGTGTACGCAAATCTTTTCCCTACCTTCAAGAAGGTAGAGAAGTTGTTTCCGGTAGACCATCGGCTTAGGAAATGTAAAAGAAAGGGCAACAACAAGCACATCAATCAGAAAACCAAAGCAAAAAATACAAAACCAACACTAGGTAATGCAATCAAAAAGCCGAAACGAAAGCAACAACAAGTAATAATAGAAGTCAAGGAATACGAAAGTACATACATGACACTAAGTCATGTACTAAAGCTACTGTTACAAACAAGGACAACGCTCGGCTACCTAACCTTACATTTATTCTCAACCTCCATATCTTCCTATCAGGGGCGAGTTTAGGGGGCGGAAGGGGGTTCCTTCGCCAAAATATTATACCGTATATATAAAGCAAAATCTGTTTTTTATCTATATCTATTATGTTTTGAATCCCCTTGACATAGGCCTAAGGCATATCTCAATGGTAAAGGGGTTAAAAACTTTTGCGAGGTCACTAGTTCAATTCCCACTAGCCACAATTTCTTATAATTTTTTAACTTTTTTCTTTTTAAACCCGTTTAACGAAGATCCTACTTGCGCCACTGCTTCCTCTCCATAGTCATGTCCTCAGTAAGCGGGAGAAACGTCATATCTTGCCTAATCACCTCTCCTCAATACTTCTTCGGCCTGCCTCTACCTCTCCTTAGGCCCTCCAGGACCAACCTCTCACACCTCCTCACCAGTGCATCTATGCCTCTTCTCTTCACATGACCAAACCATCCAAGTCTCGCCTCCCGCATCTTGCCCTCCACAGGGCCACACTTACCTTGTCCCGAATAACTTCATTTCTAATTCTATTTAGTCTGGTATGCTTGCACATCCATTTCAACATCCTTATTTTAGCCACCTTCATCTTTTGGACATGGGAATTCTTGACCAGCCAACACTCTGCTTCACACAATATAGTCGATCTGACCACCACTCTATAGAACTTACCTTTAAGATTTGGTGACACATTCTTATCACACAAAATACCAGTGACCCAAGGTATTTAAAATTTTCTCTCCTAAGGATGACTTGAGAATCAAGCCTCACATCTTCGTCAACTACCTGAGTCGCGCCACTAAACTTGCACTCCAAGTATTATGTCTTGGTCCTACTCAACTTGAAACCGTTATACTTCAGGGTCTTCCTCCAAACATCTAACCTCTCGTTAACACCGTCTCGCATCTCGTCAATCAGTACAATGTCATCTACAAATAACATGCACCATGGCACCTCCCCATGAATGTGGCGTGTCAGTGCGTCGATCGCCAAGGCAAATAGAAATGGGCTGAGGGCTGACCCCTAGTGCAACCCCATCATAACTGGGAAGTGTTCTAAGTCCCCTCTCACTGTCCTCACTCGAGTTTTAGATCTATCGTACATGTCATTAATAGCCCTAATGTATGCAACAAGAACGCCTCAAGCCTGCAAATATCTCCATAGAACCTCCCTTGGTACTTTATCGTAAGCCTTCTCTAAGTAGATGAATATCATATGTAAATCCTTCTTCCCCTATATACTGCTCCATCAACCTCCTAACAAGATGAATAGCTTCCATAGTCGAACGTCCCGACAAATGCGAACAAGTTTCAGAAATAGTCACAATCTGCAACCTCAGCTACACCACTTTCTCCCAAACTTTCATAGTATGACTTAATAACTTGATGCCCCGATAGTTGTTGCAACGGTGAATATCACCCTTATTCTTATACAATTGGATCATCGTACTCTATCTCCATTCTTCGAGCATCTTCTTCGTCCTAAAAATGATATTAAATAATCCAGTGAAACACTCCAAGCCCTCCCTACCCACGCTCTTCCAAAATTCCACCGGGATTTCGTATGGACCGGTCTCTCTCAACCTACTCATCTTACGTATAGCCTCCTCAACCTCCTCGACTCTTATACGCATATAATATCCAATGTCCCGACGACTCTCGGAGTGCTCTAAGTAACCTAGCTCATTGTTCCTATCCCCCTCTTTGTTCAAGAATTTATGAAAGTAATCCTGCCATCTTCGTCGAATAAGTTCCTCATCTAACAAAACTCTCTCCTTCCTCGTCCTTGATGTACTTCACTTGGTCCAGGTCGCGAGCTTTCCTTTCTCGTACCTTTGGCTAGCCTGTACAACTTCTTATCCCCTCCTTTGCCTCCAAGTTCGTCACACAAGCGTTCAAACGCAGTAGTCTTGGCCACTGTAACCGCTAATTTGGCGTCCTTCTTAGCCATCTTATACCGCTCCCTATTCGTAATCTTCTCCTCCTCGTCCACACTATCCAGAAGCTTCAGATATGCTGCTTTCTTGGCTTCCAATTTGCCTTGGACCTCAGTACTCCCCACTAATCCTCTTTGCCGTATTTATTTAAGAATTAGGCATTATTTTGTTGATTAATTTAGTACTTTAATGCTTCACTTCGGTTACTATATACATAATTTTTGTCCCTTATAAATAAAATCATATTCTGTACGTTTAAACCAGATGCATGAGTTAGTTTAATACTAAATATAGTCAATCAAATTTAACAAATTTTACAACTTGTAATTCTGACCACTGGCCGTTCCTTTCATCTCAAGATTGAGACTAGATTTTTTCATTTAATCCTATGTGCTTTTAATCGTTTTCTGGAATATTTTGAGAAAGAATTACAAAAAAATACACATAACTTCACATCATAATAAAAAATGGCCCATGTTTTTAAGTTTTACCCTACATAGCCCATATTGTACATATTTTGAAAGTACTAGCAAATTCAAAATCTATGTTCTTACAACCATTGCTTCTAAAAGTTATGAAGTTAAATATGTATTCTCACAGCCATTGCTTTCACTCTCTCTTCTCCTCACATTTTCTACATATGCTTGTAGACGAACTATTATAATCTTGTATAATAGTATATATGAGTGTATAAACACATCTTATACACCTTTATACAAACGTTTGTAGACGAATTTCTTCCATGATTTTCAGTTGCAATTCTTGTTCAAAAGCAGTCTAAGTCTCCATTAAATGACTTCAAATTTTATATACAACCTCTTATACTATTTCTAACAAGTTTAAATGATACACACTCCAAAATTCTCACGAAATCAAATTTGAAATTTAAACACATGTATTTAAGCTTGTTAAAATTTTAATTTTTACTACCCAAGTGAATTTAGTTTGTTGAACTAATATTTGAGTCACAGATACTATTCGAAAGTTAACTTAAAAGCTTGAGCAATCTTTTTTAAAAATTAAATAGTAATTTTCAGAACCTATCGGAGTTGAAAGTTAAGTATTAGCCTATTATTTTTGGGCTAGTTGGTTATAAATTGAAATATAGGCTATAAAATTGAAAAGTAGGGAGCCCAATTGTTTTTATGTGAAATTTTCCCATATTTTAAAGGTAAAGAAATCCTCTCTAAGTACTTTCAACATGGGGAAATTTTAATTTCCAGCAGCCCGTGGTTCCAGTTAGACAAACAAATCACATCTTTATAATTATATATCCAAAATCAAGAATAATTTGGAGTGGATACTCAATCTTTTCCACTGTTTGGTAAATTTATAACTATATAACTATATAAAGTCAAGCTTCTTGAAATTCAAACTTATAGCTACTCTTTCCAAAAGCTTTATTTCAAGAACCGTATATAACTCTTGCTTCTATTTTCTTCACAACCATTCAGAATCTAAAACTCACTGTTGGGCTAATCAGGATTTGCAACAATGGATACACTGATGACATTGGCGTCCGAAAGCCCGGTTGTGATATTCAGCAAAGACACTTGTTGCATTTCTTACAGTATTGAAATCCTAATCAGAGGTTTTGGTGCAAATCCAACAGTGTACAAGATTGATGAACTTCCGAATGGTAAAAAGGTAGAGAGAGCTTTGCTTGAAATGGGACGCAAGCCAAGTACACCAACTACATTCATTGGAAAGGAACTTGTTGGTGGATCTAATGAAGTCATTAGTCTCAATATTAGGGGGAAGTTAAAGGATTTGCTCATCAAAGCTAATGCTATATGGATATGAAATACCAACTATAGGTATAGAGTCTATTGAGCTTACAGGATACTATTATTTTGTATGTTCTTTTCTTTGCTGTAACGAATAATATTACTCCCTCCATTTTATTTTATGTGTCTCGGGTTGTGAAGTTTAAGAATATAAAATATCACGAAAAAATTTAAATAAATCGCGATGACACCTAACTTAACTCATATGTCAGACAAACCAAAACACGATAATCTCTTAAAGTGCAAACCGAAAAGACATGGTAAAAGTCTAAAGCATATAAATAACATAGATAAAGTCTGAAAATCTAGTCGAAACAAAACAACCAATACAACTGAATAACCAAAAGACAACTCCAAGCTACCCCGGACTAGTGCATGCAGCTCACCTCTATAGACAACCAGTGATCGAAGACAATTTGTGCCAAGGATACCTCCTTGTTTAGTAGTACTAAAATAGTTATACTATTATGATATTTAACATTAATAAGAAAATATTAAGTGTTGTAGTTGGAAAACGGGATCCTCCAAGATGGCATAGCACATGTTAGTGTCTTGAGGAACACATACTCGTTCTCGGAATAAAAGTGTGTCATCATGGCGAAAGTTCAACTTCTTCTATGTCATCAAGTACCTTAAGCTCTTATGATCTGTAAAAAAAATTTACCATACAAGTAATGTTACCATACACAGCCGCCTCCAACTCTTTCTGTGGGTCAGATCAAAATATTTCACTACTTAATATATGTAAATAAATTTTTTCAAAGGATAATAGACTCCAACTTACTGTAACGACCCGACCGGTCGTTTTGAGCAATTGCACTTCGCTCGATAGTTTATGGGCATGAGTAGCTCCATATGATGTATTATGACTTATGTGAATCGTTGGTTTTTAATTTTCAGGTTATTTGGAATCGATATGGAAGAATAAATTTTATTGTTGAAGCTTTAAGTTGAAAGAATCGACCAAGTTTGAGTTTTTGTGAATTTGACCTCAGAATGGAGTTTTGATGGTTCCGTTAGGTCCGTATGGTGATTTCGAACTCGGGCGTATGCCCGGCGTATGCCCGGATTTTCATTTGGATGTTTCTAGAAGGTTTCGGCACAAATTGGCGAAAATTGGAAATTTGAAGGTTTGGAAAGTTCAAAAGTTTGACCGAGAGTTGACTTTGTGGATATCGGGATCGGATTATAGTTCTGGGATTTGGAATAGCTTCGTTATGTCATTTGGGACTTGTGTGCAAAATTTGAGTTCATTCCGGGTTGGTTTGCTATGTTTCGGCACGAGTTATGGAAGTTGATAAGTTCAAAGTTCATTAAGCTCGATTTGAGGTGCGATTCGTCGTTTCGATGTTGTTATGCCTAATTTAAGGCCTCGAGTAGGTTCGAATTATGTTATGGTACTTGTTGGTATGTTCGTACAGGGACCCGAAGGGCTCGGGCATGTTTCAGATTAATTTTGGACTATTTTTCCTTCATTTTTCATTGTTGGTTCTGCAGAGCTCAGGGTATCTAGTTTTATTAATCCCAATCGTGGAGCAAGGATCACGATCGCATAAGGTTGTCTGATGGATAGGGTCAAATTGTTCTATGCGTTCACAGGTTATCAGACGCGTTCGCATAGGTAGCTGTGGAGTGAGCATAGTGTTCGCGTAGGTTGCTACGGAGTGAGCATCACGTTTGCGCCAGTGTGCACGCGTTCGCGTAGTAGTTTGGACTGAGCTTGGCAGTGGCTGATTCTTCTTCGTGTTCGCATTGACCTTGTCGCGATCGCGTATTGCAGATTCATGTGTTCATCGCGTTCGCATGCTATGTTTCGCGAACGCGTAGGGTACTTTGGGGAGGCTGCTGAGTTTGTTCTTCACGTTAGCGGAACCTCGTTCGCGATTGCATTGTGTATTTTCTGGGGCAGTGCTCTTCCTTCTTTGCGATCGCGAGGTTAATTCCGCGATTGTGGTTCATTAATTTGCCCGGTGATTATGAAAGTACTCCATTTCGGGGGTTTCAGCCATTTTCACGTTTTTAGAGCTACAGAGCTCAGATTGAGGTGATTCCTTAAGCAATTTTCACCGTGTGAATTGGGGTAAGTGTTCTCTACTCGATTTTGATTATATTTCATAAATTTACCTCGGATTCTAGTTTTTGGTTGATGAATTTCAAAGAGGAAATTGGAGGTTTTGGCCTAAAGTTTCATAATATGAATTTTCGAGTTTTGAACACCGATTTGGAGTCGGATTTGAGTGAAACTAGTATGGTTGGACCCATAATTGAATGGGTTGTCGGATTGTATGAGTTATGTCGGGTTCCAAGGTGCGGGCCCAGGTTGGACTTTTGGCCGGTTTTGGATTTTGATTAAGGATTCGATCTTTATTATTTGGAATTGTTTCCTTGGGCATTTTTTGATGTATTTGAGTTGTTTTTGGAGCATCGCTTGGCTTGCTTGATATTTGAATTGATTTGTTCAAGGTAAGTAATACTTCTAAACTTAGTGCTGAGGATATAAAACCCCAAATTACGTGATATGTGATTGGTATTGAGGTGACGCGTATGCTAGGTGACGGGTGTGTGGGCATGCACTGTGTAAGTTATGATTCGTTAATTTTGTGGTACTGTGTAGCTACCTGACCTTACCTAAAATTATGAAATTTCTATGTACTTGAGCTATTGAGCTGTGACCCATGTTAGAAACCATGTCTGTGCTACATGTTTATCCTGTTGGGACCCACTGAGGCCATTTCCGTTGTTGAGTTATCTACTTTTACTGCATTACATACTCAGCATACGCATTCATATGCATATCATATCGCAGTCTCTGTTATTATTTATCGATACATCATATCATCATTTTCGAGCTAGTTTCATGACATTGTGAGCCCGTGACAGAGAGACTGGAGAGATCGATGACTGAGTGAGGTCATGGGCCTGATTATGAGTGATATTTATGGGATCGGGCTACACACCTCAACGGTTATATTGATTTATAATAGCAATTGGGCTTAAAGAGCCCCTCCGAAGTCTGTACACACCCCTAGTGAGTGCGGTTGATTTATATAAAGGGATGGATCTTCCCTGGACATGGATCTTGTCCAATGCATTTATATTGAGGAAAGGATCTTCCCTGGACATGGATCTTGTCCAAAACATTTATACCTGGGGATGGATCTTCCCCACTGGCTGGGTTGGCCCTACTCAGTACTGAGTGACTGATGGTCAGTTGATATATATTCCGGGATAGATCTTCCATGGGCCGGATTGGTCATATACAGTACTGAGTGATTGAGCATGATGAGTGGAAAGTGTAAGCCAGTGAGAGTGAGTACTCTGAGAGTGTGAGTACATGAGTTCATCTCTGAGATACATTGCATTGACATGCACACATGATATACAGGCAAAGAGATGAATTTTTCTCATGTTGTATGGTATTACGTCATTCATGACTTCTCACGCATATTGGCATATGGTCATAATGATGCATTTTATACTGGCTATCTGGAAAGAAAATGAGATATCTTATTTATTATTGAAAGGATTTTTGAGAAAATTACTGTTTTCAAACTTACTCATATTCTTGGCAACTTCGGTAAATGAAATGGGTTTTCAGTGATATACTTGAAAGGAAGAACTGTTTTCGGAAACCATGGTTAAGCTGAGCATTTTATCTTTGAGTTGCTTCTTTTATTACTTATTCTACGTTGTTATGGGCTGTTGTTGGCTATTGGTATTGGACCCGACCTTTGCTCCAGCTCGTCATTACTTTCAACCTAAGGTTAGGTTTGTTACTTATTAAGTACATAGAGTCGGTTTTATTCATACTGCACTTCTGCACCTTACGTGCAAATGTTGGATGCTGACGTTGCTGTGTTCGACGGGAGCTGGATTTGAAGATATACTTGCGTTCCAATTATAGCTGCCTCTTGATCATGGTAGCCTTAGATTCATAAAACTCTGTTTATGTACATTTCGAACAGATGTATTATTTCATACCAACTTTGTATATTCTAATCTTAAAAGCTCATAATTTGTACTACTAGTCCTTGAAAAATGTATAAGATTCAGATATTTCTTTTACTTAATTGTCTTATTAAATATTATTGAAATTAGATAGTTATTAGTTGGCTTACCTAGTGGGTTGGGTAGGTGCCATCAAGACAAGTGAATTTTGGATCGTGACACTTACATACAACTAAGTAGTGACAATAGGTTGAGACCGTTTATACTAAATTCTAGAGTTATATCCTAAAATTCCCTTAAACTATCACATTTTTGTCAGTTTCCTTCTTAAACTATTCGGTGTTCTCAAAACCCCCTGAACTATATTGCCCTTCATATTTAAACTACATCATTGCTTACATGGAATAATATGTGTAATAACTCGCTTGAGAGCACGTGATAGCTGAAAAAAGCCATCAAATGGCCCGTCTGGCAGAATATAATGGCTAATTAGCCTAACCCACTTTCAATTTTTTTTTATTTTTCTCCTTATTTCCTTTATATCCAACTTTCTTCCTCATTTTTTCACCATTCTTCCTTATTTATTTCATCTTTCTTCTTTATTTTCACCTTCTTCTTGATTTTTCACCTTTTTTCTTCAGTTCTCCATATGGGTTCCCTCTGAAAAATTCCTCCCTCTCTTGTTTCCTTTGAACTGATTTATTCTGTTTATTATATTAGTCGTCTTTCATATTGTTGAAAGAATACTTATTTAAATCTTTTTTTAAATATAACACCTTATAGAGAACAAAGTTGAATCTCTTGAACCTTGTTTGTGTGATCAAGAATTAGAGAATGTAATTGCTAGCTAATTGGTTTCTTACTTGCAAAATTTTATTTTGTGTAATCTTATTTATGTAATATAAGATGACTTTTCAAAAATGCAAAACTATATGCCTTCATTTATTTTTATTTTTATTGTGTTGCATAGTAAATGTAAATAAGGACTTATTTAATTAGAGTAGAACATAAAACATAATCACAATTAAACCTAAAATTAATACATTACATTAGATACTACTTTGGCCAAAACTCCTAGAATTAATCAGTCATCC